ACAACTTTGGATTATTTGGCCAATATCTCTGAAATCGACTTGTCTCAGAATAACATTTCCTCAGTGAGCGATGTTAGTCTGGGCTCTCTCCCCCGGCTGCTGTCGCTCCACATGGAGGAGAATTGGATCCAGGAGCTTTCTGACAGCTGCCTCTCTTCCTGGCCCAATCTCCAGGAGTTTTACATCAACCACAACCTGATTTTCTCGATCGCTCCCCAGAGCTTTCCAGGGTCTGAGCCGGCTGCTGAGGCTCCATCTCAATTCCAATCGCCTGACGAGTGTAAACAGCCAGTGGTTCCAGTATCTCCCCCACCTAGAGATCCTGATGCTGGGAGAGAACCCCATCATTCAGCTGTCAGACATGAACTTCAAACCCCTGGCGAACCTCCGAAGCCTCGTGCTCGCCAAGATGAATTTGACTGAAATGCCCGATAACGCTCTGGTTGGACTTGACAATTTGGAGAGCATCTCTTTCTTTGACAATTTGCTCAATTGTGTCCCCAGAGCGGCGCTGACTAAAGTCAAGAACTTAAAGTTTCTGGATTTGAATAAAAACCCGATTGAGAGGATCCAAAGAGGAGACTTCATGGACATGATGCATCTCAAGGAGCTGGGCATCAACAGCATGCCTGAGCTCGTGTCCATCGACAGTTTCGCGCTGAACAACCTGCCAGAGTTGACAAAAATCGAGGCCACCAACAATCCCCGTCTGTCCTACATACACCCGAAAGCTTTCCACAAACTCCCCAGGCTGGAGACCTTGATGCTGAACAGCAACGCTCTAAGTGCGATCCATCGAAGCACGGTTGAATCCCTCCCAAATCTGCGGGAGGTCAGTTTGCACAGCAACCCCATCCGATGCGACTGTGTCATTCGTTGGGTCAACATGAACCGGACCACCGTTCGATTCATGGAGCCCGACTCCCTATTCTGCGTGGAGCCTCCGGAGTACCAAGGCCAGCACGTCCGAAAGGTGCATTTCAGGGAGATGACGGAGATCTGCCTTCCTCTGATATCAACGAAGAGCATCCCGGATCACCTGGAAGTCGCTAAAGGGACTAAAGTGTCGCTGCACTGCCGGGCATTTGGAGAACCGGAGCCTGAGATCTTCTGGGTGACGCCAAAGGGTGACAAGGTCCTACCTGGAGGTGCGTCCGATAAATACTACATGCACCCCGAGGGAACCTTTGACCTCTACGATGCCACGGAGCAGGAAGCCGGATCGTACACCTGCGTCGCCCACAACCTCGTCGGGGCAGACCTGAAATCGGTGATGGTTTCGGTAGACGGATACATCGCAGAGCTTTCGAACCAACCTGTACACGTCTTTATCACATCGGTGCAGTCTCATTCTGTAAGGGTTTCCTGGGAGAGCACAGGGGGTTTGGTATCGCAACTAAAATGGTCTGTTTTAGCCGACAGTGTGATGCCGTTCACAGCCAGACTTCCTGCCGATGTCAGAGATTACCGCATCAAACAGTTGAAGCCTTCCACGTGTTACCAGGTTTGTGTGGAAGTACAGCCTGGATACAGCAGGGATTGTGTAAACGTGACCACGAAGGAGGCAGCGTTCCCAAGGAGGAAGACGGAGAGCTGGGACGGTCTGGTGATGGCTTCTTGTGCCGTGTTTTTCATCGTGGTTGCCGTGGCTTGCTCCTTGATGTATACGTCTCTGTACAGCCAAATGTTTTACAGGAAACTGATAGCAGATCCAGATGAAACGCTGCTTATTCCCAGCACTCAATCCTCTTCTTCTTCCTCTTTCCTGGAATCCTGTTCTGGGATCAAGGTGAGGGCCACTGCAATAGACTTACCGGACATGTAAGAAAACGTCCTTGTCTGTAAAAGCACTTTGGGATTAAGTGGAAAACGAGTGATTGACACGGGACAATGTCATTTATGGGCTCTCTTTTCAGGACTTTTGATGGGACATTTTGCACTGGATCTCAGCTTGGTGGCATCGGAGGAAATGTATTGATATTTACATAAATTGCTTAAAAGCAGAGACTATTTTGTATTTCCAACTTGTGTCGATATAACAAGCGTAATGAAGCAGATATCTTGACTATAATCTACATGGCTCCTGGTCATCGATGCAGTGCAACTGGAGTAAAGCACAGCAGAGGAACTGTTTAAAATACTTTGTCAGGACGGCTGTTATGTCTGGAAAAAAGCTTTTTCATGCTGTGTTTCATTAAATGGTGCCAAGCAAAGATTTATAATAGCAGAAGAAAAAAAAAAAACCTTGTTAGTCTTGTGTACAATTAAACCGACTGTAATGTAAACAATTTTATGAACAAATACATTTTTCATTAAACCTGTGTGGTGTCTAATACCTGCAATCTTTTCTCGTTAAATGTGGACAACAAAAGCCTTTTGAAATATGTGCATTGCCACAGAAAACAAACCGTTTTCTTTGAGATGCAAAAACACTCATTTGTATGGATGAGGCTCATAAATCTCGTCCCAATCAAACGGCAGCGGAGGTGTGAGGTCTGCTTTAGACAAACTCAATTACAGCAGCGACCCGCCAACACTGTTAGGGAAATGCAATGCAATTTCAAAGTGTGTGTGTGTGTGTGTGTGTGTGTGTGTGTGTGTGTGTGTGTGTGTGTGTGTGTGTGCGTGTGTGTGTGTGTGTGTGTGTGTGTGTGTGTGTGTGTGTAAAGAGCATCCCAGGCATTGACTTTGAATTGCATTATATTCCCTTTCATTAAAAATCCAATATGGATTTGCCAACACCAAGCTGAGCGAGGTGATGAATCGGCGTCACGCGCAAACTGATGGGAGGCATTCATCAACGAGACTCCGTCGTAGATCAAGCGAGTTTCAGCAGCCCGGACAGACCTTTTAGAGCGCGGCCATTTGTCACCGCCACAGGAGCTCAAATATGACCCATTAGAGGCAGGTAGTGAGTAGGTCAGCAAGAACGTGTGACCCTGCAGAGACACCGCCGCCACCGAGGAACAGCTCAGCAAGTATCGGCTCGTTTGGGAGAGGGAGACGAATGGACCACGAAAAACCAGGACAAAGTAGTTTAAGTCCCGAAAAGGAACAGAGCAGTGATTTCAACCTTTTTTCACTGCACCCCAAAAGAGCAAGATCTATCTAATGTTAAATAAGATTATTTTGGAGGCTTACTCGCAACATGTCAAGTGTTTCCTGAGGATAGTGCTAAAGACAAATGTAGTAGGGTTATAACAATGTTTAATTATCCGAGGAGCAAGAATGCTCTCAATGCAAACAAACAATTTGATTATCTTAAAAGATGGTAAAATGACTGCACTTATATATCTCTTTATCAGGTCTTCTCGACCCCTCTTTACATACTACGAGTCACACACACACAGTATCTTGCCCAAGGCCACATCGACATGTATAATTTTTGTAAAAAGAGAAATCATGGCACACCCACAACGGTGTTACGGCCCGTCCACACAGCGGCGTGCGTTGAAGCTTCCAACGCTTCTGCCCATTCACTTTGAATGGGGTGACGTCACTTTTAGCCGAACTGCATCGTGGGAAGCGACGCGGAGCGTTGCTGGCGTGGCTCGCTGCAAAAGTTGAGCAATGTTCAACTTTTGACGCCTCGGCAGAAGCGTCAGCCAATCGAATCATATGCCAGTACAAGCTCTAGCCAATCAAACCGCTGCTTGTGTGTCAGGGGCGGGAGATTCATGTGATTGGTTGTTGGTCGAGTGTCAGACACGCCCGCCGGCAAGCGTCAACGCACGCCGCTGTGTGGATGGGCCGTTAGACATAACCTGCTGTTATGCAAAAACCACAATCAAAGACAAAGTGTACAGCCATACTGGGATGTCTGTAACGAGACGAGATCAATTAACAGGGAAAACTATCCAATAGTTAGTGCAGGTATTTCATTCTGAACCAAAGTCTTTATATAATAGTTGTATCCACGTCAGTATTCTGAGAAAAACAACTTTTCAAAGACAGTAAATCATCTAATCAAGTGTTTCGACCAAATCTAACCACAAGTCTCTCCCAGTTGGACCGATCCAATAAACAAAAGTCATTTTGCACAGGAAGCCGTTAATATCCCCGCCATCGACGCCATTCATCACGGAGGTAAACGAGGGGCTGCTGAACAGTACAGATGGTGGTGATAATAAAGATTCAGGGTGTCATATTGAGGATGTGTGTGTTTAATCACTGCGTCCTTCAGCAAACAGCCAATCAGAGGTGGGCGTTGCTCGTCATGATTAACTGATGATTTTCCTCACAGAAACAAAACCTACTCGTTAATAGCGAAGACGACGAGGGAAGACATACGATCTACTTTGAGACTGGAGGAGGACATCTGTGGCGAGACGTGGAGAATTAACCGGCCATTTCTGCACATCACTCACTGGATAATTAGTCATTGCTATCAGCGGAGAGATGGAAACATACTTCATTTATTCAAGGACAGAAACAGAAGTGCAGTCGTGAAGCTCTGATGCTTCATTTGGGACTTTCTTCTTTCCCTTTTTCACATTTGAGAGGGAAGTAAGTGGAGATTTAGCAACGGTTTGTTTATGTTTGACAGTATTTTCATGTTGATTTCCTGCATTTTGTTAAAACCTGGCCCTTAAAAACACTACAATATTACTAACATCCTTCTTTATTCTGCCCTTCCTTGTATGTAGTGTCTCTACTTTAAAGAGTCCTCTCCTGCTGATGTTCAGGTGTATATCAGTATGTAGTGTCTCTACTTTAAAGAGTCCTCTCCTGCTGATGTTCAGGTGTATATCAGTATGTAGTGTCTCTACTTTAAAGAGTTCTCTCCTGCTGATGTTCAGGTGTATATCAGCATGTAGTGTCTCTACTTTAAAGAGTCCTCTCCTGCTGATGTTCAGGTGTATATCAGTATGTAGTGTCTCTACTTTAAAGAGTCCTCTCCTGCTGATATTCAGGTGTATATCAGTATGTAGTGTCTCTACTTTAAAGAGTCCTCTCCTGCTGATGTTCAGGTGTATATCAGTATGTAGTGTCTCTACTTTAAAGAGTCTTCTCCTGCTGATGTTCAGGTGTATATCAGTATGTAGTGTCTCTACTTTAAAGAGTTCTCTCCTGCTGATGTTCAGGTGTATATCAGTATGTAGTGTCTCTACTTTAAAGAGTCCTCTCCTGCTGATGTTCAGGTGTATATCAGTATGTAGTGTCTCTACTTTAAAGAGTCCTCTCCTCTGATGTTCAGGTGTATATCAGTATGTAGTGTCTCTACTTTAAAGAGTCCTCTCCTGCTGATGTTCAGGTGTATATCAGTATGTAGTGTCTCTACTTTAAAGAGTCCTCTCCTGCTGATGTTCAGGTGTATATCAGTATGTAGTGTCTCTACTTTAAAGAGTTCTCTCCTGCTGATGTTCAGGTGTATATCAGCATGTAGTGTCTCTACTTTAAAGAGTCCTCTCCTGCTGATGTTCAGGTGTATATCAGTATGTAGTGTCTCTACTTTAAAGAGTCCTCTCCTGCTGATATTCAGGTGTATATCAGTATGTAGTGTCTCTACTTTAAAGAGTCCTCTCCTGCTGATGTTCAGGTGTATATCAGTATGTAGTGTCTCTACTTTAAAGAGTCTTCTCCTGCTGATGTTCAGGTGTATATCAGTATGTAGTGTCTCTACTTTAAAGAGTTCTCTCCTGCTGATGTTCAGGTGTATATCAGTATGTAGTGTCTCTACTTTAAAGAGTCCTCTCCTGCTGATGTTCAGGTGTATATCAGTATGTAGTGTCTCTACTTTAAAGAGTCCTCTCCTCTGATGTTCAGGTGTATATCAGTATGTAGTGTCTCTACTTTAAAGAGTCCTCTCCTGCTGATGTTCAGGTGTATATCAGTATGTAGTGTCTCTACTTTAAAGAGTCCTCTCCTGCTGATGTTCAGGTGTATATCAGTATGTAGTGTCTCTACTTTAAAGAGTCCTCTCCTGCTGATGTTCAGGTGTATATCAGCATGTAGTGTCTCTACTTTAAAGAGTCCTCTCCTGCTGATGTTCAGGTGTATATCAGTATGTAGTGTCTCTACTTTAAAGAGTCCTCTCCTGCTGATATTCAGGTGTATATCAGTATGTAGTGTCTCTACTTTAAAGAGTTCTCTCCTGCTGATGTTCAGGTGTATATCAGCATGTAGTGTCTCTACTTTAAAGAGTCCTCTCCTGCTGATGTTCAGGTGTATATCAGTATGTAATGTCTCTACTTTAAAGAGTCCTCTCCTGCTGATATTCAGGTGTATATCAGTATGTAGTGTCTCTACTTTAAAGAGTTCTCTCCTGCTGATGTTCAGGTGTATATCAGTATGTAGTGTCTCTACTTTAAAGAGTCTTCTCCTGCTGATGTTCAGGTGTATATCAGTATGTAGTGTCTCTACTTTAAAGAGTTCTCTCCTGCTGATGTTCAGGTGTATATCAGTATGTAGTGTCTCTACTTTAAAGAGTCCTCTCCTGCTGATGTTCAGGTGTATATCAGTATTAGTGTCTCTACTTTAAAGAGTCCTCTCCTGCTGATGTTCAGGTGTATATCAGTATGTAGTGTCTCTACTTTAAAGAGTCCTCTCCTGCTGATGTTCAGGTGTATATCAGTATGTAGTGTCTCTACTTTAAAGAGTCCTCTCCTGCTGATGTTCAGGTGTATATCAGTATGTAGTGTCTCTACTTTAAAGAGTCCTCTCCTGCTGATGTTCAGGTGTATATCAGTATGTAGAGTCTCTACTTTAAAGAGTCCTCTCCTGCTGATGTTCAGGTGTATATCAGTATGTAGTGTCTCTACTTTAAAGAGTCCTCTCCTGCTGATGTTCAGGTGTATATCAGTATGTAGTGTCTCTACTTTAAAGAGTCCTCTCCTGCTGATGTTCAGGTGTATATCAGTATGTAGTGTCTCTACTTTAAAGAGTCCTCTCCTGCTGATGTTCAGGTGTATATCAGTATGTAGTGTCTCTACTTTAAAGAGTCCTCTCCTGCTGATGTTCAGGTGTATATCAGTATGTAGTGTGTCTACTTTAAAGAGTCCTCTCCTGCTGATGTTCAGGTGTATATCAGTATGTAGTGTCTCTACTTTAAAGAGTCCTCTCCTGCTGATGTTCAGGTGTATATCAGTATGCAGTGTCTCTACTTTAAAGAGTCCTCTCCTGCTGATGTTCAGGTGTATATCAGTATGTAGTGTCTCTACTTTAAAGAGTCCTCTCCTGCTGATGTTCAGGTGTATATCAGTATGTAGTGTCTCTACTTTAAAGAGTCCTCTCCTGCTGATGTTCAGGTGTATATCAGTATGTATAGTCTCTACTTTAAAGAGTCCTCTCTAGCTGATGTTCAGGTGTATATCAGT